GGCTGCAGTCTCTCCTCTGGCATCCCAGGCAGCCAGATCTGCCTCCATACCAAAGATTCAGAGAAGCTGTCACCCTCACCCGCAAAGTCAGCTCCATTTTCATCAGGCGCAAGTCAATTTGCCGCAGCTTAAATTTCATCACCTCAAGTGGCACAAAAAGTTCTCCTACCCCGATTACCGACATGGAGAAGAATAAAAAGGACAGCTGGTCACTGATACTCCAGTTTTGGTTACAGTAAATCCTCTCAAAAGTCCCAGCCAGTTTCTGCACACCTCTCAAAAAATCATACCTATACTGGGAAGTGATCTAGCCCACTACCTCCATGTAATGGGTATTAGCAGATAAAGGGATGTTATATAACAACATGATCATAACATCCTGACAAACACTCCAACAGTCTAAAGCCGGGACAGTCAGTCAACTAGGGAACAGACTCCATTAGTCAGTGGGATCAAGTGGAGCAGACTGTGAATGACAGATGAGGGGCGAGCAGGAATCACCCAGATGTTCTGTACGTCCTTTTTGGTCACACTAATACGATGAAGTGAAAATTCCCCCTTGGATGTCATGAAGGACAGACCGTTAATAATGATTCAATAGCATCGAGTCTACCAGCAACCTGGAAGGGGACAGAGTTAGGGATTTCAGCATTCTTGAAAGGTTCTTCCCAGCAAGCAAACATACTAGATGTCAACCAAACATTTTAATGCAAAGGGCACTTCAATAGATATAGATCTGGCATAAAACACTGACTGGGAATGATGAGAGCCAAGTCGTCATCAACCTCTTAGGTCTCATTACTAAAAATGGAAGAGAGCAAAAAAAAAAATCATAAAAACAGCTACATAACAGCAGATGTAGGGATCAACCCAACGAGCATCACCCAAGTGTCCACAAAAGCATTAAAGAGCATTTCTTTTTAATGTAGAATTCCTGTCTCACACCGGCACAATGAAGCACCCCCCCCCACACTTTATTTTGTTTCTAGGCAGGAATGCCGGCGTTCACAACCAGAGGCCCGGCAAAATCAATGGCGCATTTATGAGCGCCTGCTCCCCCCACGCGCCGACCGAGCACCAATAGGGGTATTCATCCATCCTGCGAGGCCAAAAGACACAGCTGCTCAGGCTTTCGTGCCACAGTCAGGGGCCGATGGCCACCGATAAGCCTCGCCGTTCTCAGCCCCCGAGGCTGCACCTGACCAGAGGAGGAAGGGGGAAACCGGACTGGAACGGTAGCCGGCGCCGCTGCATGGCTACGATGTTCTGGCGGCCTTTGATTCACTCGGCAGCCACGCATCAGAGCAAGAGGCAGAGCAAAGCCATACATGATCCACCCTTCCGTGCCACGTTGCATTAAACACACAGGATGCCTACCTACACTCCTTGTAACAGAGGACACCACATTAAAAAAGACGACGGAGCTATTAACTTAATCCCCCAGTTCCACTGACTTAAAAATAGCTCAAATGATGAAAAGGGAACCTTTTACAAAAAAAAAAAAAAAAACAGCAGAGCATCCGCCAGCAGAACGACCAGAAAACGCCTGCAGACCGCAAGCTCCTTTTAGCCAGAGAGCACTATATTTCTGCAGCCAACAAACCAAATGCTTGATACCCTCGTCCCAACGAGAAATGTACGGCTGGTTTCCTTCCTTGAATGTTTTGGGGCAACAAAAGTTCAGCCTGCGGTACTAAGCAGCATCCTTAAATCCTAATAGTGAGAACTGCACGTTTAGCTTTGGAGAAACCAGCAGCTGGGCACATCTCACGATCAGGAAGATGTATTATCAGCACACATGGAGAGTGCCCATGTTAGTGTGGGCGTAGAAGGCAATGGAAAACACGCACAGTACCGCAAAAGTAGTGCAAAAGTCTTAGGCAGTCAAAAAAATTAGTTATCTGAGTAAGTGTATATTTACTGAGGAAAAAAAAAATCAATTTGACTAATATTTGCTAATTAACAGTAACAATAAAAACAAACATGAAATATCTTCTGCTCTACTTTATCACAACACTAAGCTAGACAGAGCTGTGTTCTCTATCCACTTTGGCAGCACAGAAGATAATCAGCTCACAGTCAGGCACACAGAAGGCACAGTCTCTGATGCAACTGATGAGTGCTACACATCAGCTAGGCTCACCTGTGCGGCCAGAGCAATCGGAATACGCAGGATTAAGCCAACTGTGCACGTGTGCTTTTTCCAACAAGTTGGTCACATGTGAACACAGCTGCTCAGAGACGGGATCAGTCACATTGAAACATGGATACAACCACATTCACTCGATTCACAAGTATGGAGACAGAAATCCATTTAAAATCGCTACTTTTGCTGGAAAATGCAAGCTATTAAAAATCCGCATGTTTTAATCATAGATATGCAGCGCTAAAATTCAAAGCCATCCATCACTACCATGTCAGCACATCCAACATGTTTTTTAACACAATTTTTCATTTTCGTCAGACACCGCCCTCGTTCTGCCCCAGAAATCACACCTGTTGTCATTTCCTTTGATGCCAAGTGCTAAAAACACGGTCAGTGAGCACTCTCAAGAAACAAAACTCAAGACAGAAACACGGCATACATTCCCACAAGAAAGTCTCTCCAAAGGACATCGGACTTTACAATAAAAAAAAAAAAGGTTATTGTCATTAATTAGGAATTTGCAAAGGCTGTAGATGCTGACCTACACGATGTGGGACTTGAGAAATCTTAAAGAACTCAAAAATTCCTGTACCAAACATACCAAAACAAAGAAGCATACAACTACAAACAATCGTACTATGACAAAAAGTATTTTTATTAAAATTTTAAGGTACAGAAAAGAACTCTGAGGAGCATCCCAAAGGTACAAACAATATTAATATACCCCAATGGTACACAAATGTTCCTCAGAGTCCATTTTAGTACCTTAAAAAGGTACAACTACGTACAGCTAAGGGTACAATTGGCACTCGCTAGAGGGTACAGCCTCAGTGTCAAGCAAATGCACACATTTTTTTGCAGCAGAATCAATACAAAGTGCACGATGATGAGGCCCCCGCAATACAACTCTGCGGGTTAGAGACCTTACATTACAGCTGCTGCTGGAGCCCATGTGCCTTTTACCAAGAACCAGCGGGAACGCGGGCAGGTAATGAAAGACAGCTTACGCCCACGGCACGCGACATTTTAGCAAAGGCACGTGACGACCTGCTGGAACGAGTCAACAGATACACAGACGGAAGAAGATCTAGACTCACACCTAGAGGCGCGAAAGCACTCAACGACAACGGGTCCGAAGATCCAATGCAACTCGTGAGCATGTCAACGCTAAGCATTCGTTTACAGCTATTTATTGTTAGCGATAGCTGCTGTACTTATCTGGCACTGCAGTGTGCAAACGGCATGCAAGGATTTCAATCTACATGTTCACACTGCCCTGAGCAAGATAGGCAGTTAGAGGATGAATGGATGATCCGTCCACAAACATAGAAAACCTTGATGCATTTACCACTAATTCCGATTGATCACAAGCCCAGAGTACTCATGATAAAAATGAGACAAGCCTCCATTATGACAGCACAGTGTAACATTAGCTGGATGACCCAGCATCGATTCGCATCCATAGTCGGGGTATCGAGGTTATCAAACATAACTACGGAGCTTATAACCGACTCCACCTACTGTGCTGAAAAGCTGACCATGCAGTGGGGTGGGGGGGGGGGGGGGGGGGGGGGGGGCAGATGAGCCGATTTCAACCCAAGTATCTTTTTCTACCTTCTCAGATGACTGCCTCCCCAGGAAAGCGGCCGCCGGCTCCCAGGGGAGGGCAGACGTTTAGAGTGATGGCGTCTGCAGGAAAGCTGACACAGAGGCAGGTACCAATGGAGCCTCAAACTGGCTTTTCAGACAGTGCCCCCCCACTCGAGGCAAAAACTCACACTTCCAAAAAAAACAAACAAAATAATAATAATAATAATAATAATAATAATAAACAAAAAAGCAGAGGAAACTTAAAGCAGGACAGGTGCAGATTACTTGAACCCAGTAGTCCTGTTGCCCATATTCCACTCTTCAAAACAGAAGGGCCATTTCTGCTTTTTCCATTCAAACCAAGGTGATGCGCAGTTGCCCATTATGTGTGATTTATTTGCCAGCCAGGCTAAAATTACTCTATTCCCATCCAGTTCAAAACATCTAGCCCCAAATATTAAGACCTTTGATTACTCTCAGGAAAGAAAAAACAACTTGTGTGAGACCTTTTCATCACATCTCATTCCGTTGAGAATCTGGGTCATGACAAGTCAGTGTTAATGGGAGCAGAAAAACTACAGATCAAAGACTACCGCAAGTTCAAGAAAGCGGCGCGACGCTAAAACCATATCAGCCATCACTAAAATCATATTAAACATCGTTCCTGCTGTTTTATGACTTGATCTCCCTGCGTTAACGGCGACGTTTTGGCAACGTCGTCGGCTGTTTTAAATAAACAGCGAGGCGACACGAAAAGGCGACGATTGCGACCCCCTTCCCACCGCCCCGCATAATCAAACCACAACTTGTAAATAACGAAACTGAACTGCAACACTTGGACGCCCTACATTTGCGTTAATGTGACTCGACTCACAGCGGCCTCAGTCCCAATGCGGAGATAAACATCAAATCAAAGAAACATTTTTCGTCAGCTGTCAAATCTACATGTAATGTTTACTAGACACTTCTGCATCAGAAGTACATCTACAGTAGATCTGGCGCAAAAGAACGTGCAAAAGCATCGGAAATTATGAAACGCACACATATTCAGTCATATAAAATAAATGATACTAACTTATGAAGTTGGGTTTACATTCTGTATTGGTTTCACCCAGATCACCTTACAGTGCCAGTATTACGCAGACGTGTCATTGTTGCCAGTCCAGTTTATACACATTACGGTATAATCCGACGGTCATTTGCTTTTAAAGCGCCAACTAGTTAACAACAAGTTAGTAGCCTCGGCACGTAACCAGGTAAGAGAGGAAAGCGGAGCCGGTGTCCGCCGGGCTGCGGGCGGCGAGCGGGACTCCCACCGGGGGGAGTTACCCCGAACTGCCTCCGGTACTCCTATGTGGAGGCGGGTTCAAATATGGAAAAAAATGTCACTTTAATTATGGAAAATGTCACTTTAACGGGCTTTACAAGGAGTCACCGAGGAGCTCTCGCCGAAGCGAAACAGCCTTAAACGAGCTGGCGAAAGAGTCAGCACCGAGCCCGGGGCACGGAGCAGCCATCTTCGGGTCTAAAGCGGAGCCACGGAAACGAGCTGGCGACGGCCGCTGGACCGGCACCGGGACCGGGACCGGGACAGCACACACATACACGGCACGGGCAGCCGCTCCGTGTTATTAGCCCAAGCAGCCGACAGGCTAACCGGCTCCGCACTCGGAGCCCCTGGCGCTTCCGCACACTACCGAGCCCAGTCGGTACCGGTCCGGGTTATAGGGAGCCGCGGCGCCGTGAGCCGTGCCTTAACCGGCCGGAGAAGGCTGAAGCCAGCCCGGGCCTCTCTTGCCTCCTTCCCCTGGCTCTCCGCCGCTCCAGACAAAAAAAAGGAAAAAACCAGAAGCGATAAATAGAGCGATCGGACTGAAGCCCGGCGACCGGCCCGAATCCGCCCGAACCGGCTCCATCCTCCGCGGTACCCCGGCTCACCGAGCACCTTAATATCGGCAGAAGAAAACGCGGGTACCGGGGAAAAAGGGTAAAAAACACACTTACCGCATTAATTTGTGTTCTCCTCCAGATCCAAGATGGCTGTGTATGGTAGAGTCGAGGATGCTGGGTGAACAGCCTTTACCCTCTGACCCCGCCGCCGCCTCCCGAACATCTCCGACGCAGGATGCCGCCGCCGCTGGCCGCGGCCCCCGGGCGCTCCGCTGCGGACCCTTTACCTTCATATTTATACATTTATACGTGTATTTACGCCGCGGCGCCTTTTGTGCACGGCGTCTACGAAATACATCGCTGTCTGCCTTATAGTACACTTATTACCTAACCATAGATTTCATTGCTCCGCTAAGACGTTTTATATATAATGAATTCTAGCAATATACTTATTATTTTAGAAGGAAAAGTAACATTACTGTTATTACTTTTTTATATTTAATGCCTTATAAATGATTTAAATATGGATTTGCCATTTGTTCATTATAGGTAGTAAAGTAGGGTTTGTGTATCACTACTGTATTGAGTGTATGTGTTCAGAAAAACACTATATACATACAGTTGCCAACTTCGGTCATCTGGCTGGCGTGACAGTCAATTCGAGACAAGTCTGCACACGCATTTGCATATATGTAACAGTTTTATTGCTTTGTAAATAGTCTGTAGGGTTTACAAACTAACCCCAGGCTTTTGTAGCTAATGTAGCTAATTTTAGGTTTATAATAGAATAATAAAGATTTGCCGTAATTAAGATGTCTTGCGTGAGCCTGAGAGTCTGAAAGTGTTACGCCAGATGCATTAGTTGGTAACTCTGTACACGTTTCTTTCGCTTTTAGTCTCTGCCGTCAGAAAATTCAAAATATTTGCAATAAGAAGTGTGCCATCTCTATTAGTTCAGGTATTCAATCAGGTGTACACGTTTGATCGAATGATTCTGATGCATGTTTGGTTCGAAACAAAACGGTTAATGTACATACAATGTAGAACAATATTTAAACAGCTACTTGTCTCAGAAAAAGACACACGTCTTAAAATAAAGACCGCCTCAACAAATAAACATATTTAATCAGTAGTCACCTTTACCTGCATTTCCAAATTAATTAGTAGATTATGGCTCTGGTTTATTTACTAAGGGACCACAAGGAAAGAGCTCAGCATTGTGTTTCAGAATTAGACCAGTAGGTGGTGTAATGGTTAAGGTAATTAACTAAAAAAACTTTTATAAAATCATTACATATTGTAGTTCAGGATCACTAACCATAAACCAGGAGGTGTGGGGTAAAGGGCAGGAGAGCGTTCTAGATTGGGATGCCAGTCCTTTGCTGGGCACACGACTGTAGGGAATTTAAAGACTGTTGAAGGAAACCTGTGCAAACACAGTGAGATCAGCACACATGGTACAGGAGGCAGGATTCAAACCCACAACGCCGTAAATGTGTAGCTGTCTTCATTTGTAGTAGTACTACAATCATGCTAGAGCACATGCATTCAAGTCATGGGTATTTTTCAAAACTGAGTTCAAGGCACACAAACTGTGCTATGAGAGGAACACGCAACTGAATCATGTCACAGAGACACAGTACTGTTTACAATTCTACTTTGATTTCTGGACTTGTATTTCCCTGTATTCTTATGTAATTATTTCACCTTAACATTTTGTATTCACTAATTATATAAAAAAAATAACAATTATATACAACGAAATGACAATAATATAATGTGATGGAAGTGTTCATTACAGTATGTCTGATCCATTTCCTCATTCATTGATTTGAATCACTATGTATCCAGCGAGGATCACAGTGATTGATAAGCTTCTAAAGAAAGTTTAAGGTGAAAGGTTTGGTTCATCCAGCCCTACAGGTTCTTATAGATTACTCAACACTCCATTGATTCTAAATCACTTCAACAGTGTGTTTGTGGAATGTGGAAGGAAACCAGAGTACCCAGAAAAATCACACACAAAACAAAAGAAAACACGGAACAGTATATTTACCATCTTCAGATATCGAATAACAAATCATGCGTGACACATAATCTGATTCGGAGTAGCAAATGCAGCTCCAGTACCTGAGGTCACCAAAGTCAAAATATCTATTTGTTTTGTCAAAGATCTGCATGCTTGCAAGCTGTATTTGTATTCAGAGGTTTACCTCACTATTTGTTGTGTTTCTCACTGAATAGGAGATTAGTGAATTCTCATCCAAGTTGGCATGGGAACGCCCTTAATTAACAGATCAGAAAAAGCCGGATAATCTGTGTTCTGCGGGTTTGTGTCAGGTGTGTGTGACTTATGTGTGTTTTATGGTCAGTGCAGAATTCCATCCTTGAGTTCTTTACATCATGGAGTGAATCAACGCATGGCTCACATTGCGTTTCCTAGGAACATCACGCGTCCCTTTGTTTTGTCATCTTTTGATTGGATGCTATTCTAATCAGCTCATTGTACCTCGTCACTCAAGTCTTGCAGCTGGATTAGGTGACACACCTCAAGTGGAAATACCACAGGTTCCTTCACATCTTGTTATCTCAGTTTCCTCTTCCCTGGCATCTCGGCTTTCTGTATAATAATTGCTCATCCTTCTTCATCAGCCTCTAAGCAGCTGACTAATTAATGATGTTCTGGACCAAAGTCACCAATAGACCCTAAGTGCTATCAAGCCCGAAAAAAATCAAACCCACAAATTTATTCATGGTAACAGCCTTGTGACTGCATATTCTTAATCTCTTTACCATCAAAACTGTATTTCATCACTGTAGTTTTTCAATAATGCACATAATAATAGTAAAACGTATCAATCATATCAATGAGTCAGGAGTGCTTAATTATCTTAAAAGCCAAAGGTAATAAATAACATTACCAATCAATATTAAATATAATAAACAAAAACACAAACTTGTCAAAGAAAAGTGGTTCATGCACAAACAATAAAGCATCTTGCATATACTACCAGGATCTGTGCAGAAAAAAATTCTTTAAAACTGTTTCGTTGGAATAATCAGTGAAGTTAAAACCAGTGGCCTGGGCAACCTTGGCATTTGTCGAGTTCTCCAGACCAGTAGGGGGCGCACTATTGTAAGCTATGCTGATGCTAAAATGAAGCATGTTAAATTAAGTGAGGCCTTCAAAAACATTAAACAATTTTTCAACACCATTTTTTTCAGCAGCAAACTAAAAATGTTGAGGAGGTAGAGCATAAGACTTCTTTGAATGTTTGAGAGGATTAGGAGGTTATGACACTAAATGTTGGTGGAATATTTTCACTACAGTACCAGGGTGATATACAACAGCATGCTGCCGGTAATGATAGAACAAAAGCAGCTGAGATTGATAATTAAAGTGATTAAATATTTGGCAAGACTTACAATCCAGCAGTGTTGAAGACGGGGTGCTACATTTTGCCTTGGACATTTGATTGGCACATGCTGACCCTGGTTAAAACCATCAAAACATTAAGATGGCATCACTCCATCTAATCTCAATGTCAGTACCACCTTAACCAAAATTTCAGTGTCATAGTTTAAGCTCCACTCATTTGGCCCAATCTATCCAGCCTCTTCTTTTTTAAGACCACCCAGATTGGGTTGTAATTACACATACATACAGAAAATCTATACAGAAGCACCAAAAGATGCGAACAGGGTACAAAGGTGTGATGTTTTTGTGAGGAATCCAAGCCAAAAACTGAGTGACAGGTTTGAACAGAAAAGAGACGGCTATGCCACTTATTAGGTAGGATCCATTTCAATTGTATAAGTTCAGATTCAAAGGCTTGATAATGGCTTCACCATTGAATGTCAGAATTTTTCCTCAATCAATGCCTTTCAACCAGAAAATTAGGTCCTGTCTGAATCATATTTGTTGATCCGTACAGCTCACAGTCAACCTGCTGGATCTGCTTTGCGGGCTCACAACTCATAAAAGCCCGTCTGTTTGGTTCTGGGGTGACTAACTGACACTGAGACAGTCTCTTCCTCAAACACTCGTCCAAAGCCCCATTTTTAAGTGTCTTCCTGCAGTGCTGTCAGACTCCCGAGATCTCGCTGTCATCTTGTGTACCCACACTAAGATAAATGCATGCCTAGCAGCAGAATGATCTCTGTACCAAGAGACCCAATGCGGCTGGTATAGCTGCAGATTGAGAACCGGCTCCAATAACGTGCAGCTCATCTCCTGTGCTTAGCCCTTCACTGCACACCAGTTTGGTGTGCAGTGAAGGGCTAAGCAGGAAATGCGGGATGTGCTGGAAACGGAAAACAACAGCTCTAATATAACAATCAAGGTATGAGTGCGGCTGCCCATATGACATCTCTGAGATCAATACACAATTAAATCCAAATTAAATGCCTACAGTGTCAATGTCAGTGGCTGTGTATGAATTCAGGGGCTGCAGGCTTCCAAGGCTGCACTCAGAGACCAAATGTGTCATAACGGTGCGACCAGGCTGTCACATTTCGAAGGCTCCTTCGAATGCATCCTCTTTTTGCCACAGCCCAATGCAGCCCAACATATCCCAAGATTAATTGTGCCGAGATCGAGTGGCTGTGTCCCAGTTAGGCGATGGGAGAGGTGCTTTGTGACTCAAGGGTTAGGGCGGGAAGAGCTGGTGACAGCCAGACCATCCCATCTGACAACGCTTTCCGTTCGACCTTCAAACAACGCAGCCTACAAAAGCTTTGCCCTCTTAGACCACGTCTTTTGAAATATTCACATTTAAATCATGTTCTTCTCCAGTGTAGATTTAGCTGTTGCATGAGTTTGTATTTTATGGCATTTTGTTGTGTTTTTCGGGATGTATTGAATAAAGATGCCACTTCCTTTGTACTGTAGCTCAACCAACCATAAGAAAGCTTGCTGAAGGCAAGTAACAAGGATGATTATGCTGCCTCACGTCTCACTTTAGTGCCTATTGTCAGGGGGTGAAGGTCGGATGACTCCAAGGGCCCGTGAGTGACAGGGACCCTAAACTCTTTTGAACATAACTGGATTGATCAGGGTTGGGGGCCCTGAATAATATGCCTCCATGGGGCCCCAAATCTCTAGCAACACCCCTGTACTCTTCAATGTTCTGTCCTTCTCCCAGAATCCGTAATTTTTTATTTAATTTTTTTTTTTTTTTTTTACCTAAGTCACTAATACCAGAAACTATGTCTATAGTGCTCATCAGAGAAGGGAAGCCAGCCAGGATACTCCAGTAAGGGAATGACTGAGGGAAGCATGTTTATTACTGAGAAAGGTTTGGGACTCACTGGTCCCTCTTGCTGTGATCTTGACATTTTAAGCCTTCCATTGCATTCGCAGTGGGGAGCAAAGGAAATGGATCACAAATGGACTGAAGACAATGAGTCATTAGGCAACTTCCACCACGGACGTCATAGACTAATGCTGGGGGTGTTATCCCAGTCAATCTACAGTTTTAAAGCATACTAAACCCTGTCTAATATATTTGGTGTCCTGTCCCTGCCAGTGTCTCTGTACTTCTGATAGATCCTTGTTACCCATCTAATAACTCAAGGTTCACTTTTCTGGTTGGAGCTTCAACATGTACTGCATTTGTGATGTTATGAAGTCACCCAAGATCTCACCTCCCTCACTTCTCTACTGATATTGTAGTTTTGTCGTTCTGGGTTCACCTGATGCCTTGCTGCTGGCAGGTCCCAAGGTTCTACTCTGGTTGCTGTGTTCAGGTTCTGTGTATGTTCTTGTACCTATGTCCATATGTCCTATATCCTATGTCCATCCATACATCATCTCTAACTGCTTATCATGTATAAGGTCATGGTTACCCTAGAGTCTGTTCCAGGAAGCACAGGACAACCCCAACCCCTGTCAAAATGCCACCTTGGCCCCAACGGCCAATTTTCCAACATTTTGCGTATCTAAGGGCCCCTGTAAAGTGCTGAGGCCCTTGATTCTGCCTGGGATCCATGCTGCACTCGCACCCCTGACTCCAAGACACCAGCTCACCCTGCTGTGTGTTTTTGCACTGCAGCAGGTAACTAGAGAAGCTGGAGGAGACCCCCACACATGCATGAGGGACATGGACGACCCGCAGACCGACACCCCCAGAC